CATTTTATGAATGTTCACTTTGAACTGCCACCTTCAATAATATATCAGTTACTTTCCATGATAATATATTTCATTATTAGATAATTATTTAAAGTTTTAAAGATTTCAATACTAAAACCAAGTAATTTTATGTTTTGAGTAACTGTATCAAATAAGTTTTATCTTTATTATTATAAGAGAATTGATTCTTTGTGCTGTATTTTATCTTCAGGTTTATTGAAGGGAAAGTCCTGAAAAGAAAAGGCAATAAGAAATCTAAAAAACTGTTATTTCTATCTCTCACCTAGATACATATTACCATGAAAAATGACTCATATATTATATAATTGAAGGTGCCAGTTCAAGTAAACATACATAAAGTGTATATTCTTTTGTGGCATATATACGTAATAATAATAATGATTTAATACATAGAGATAGTAGTACTAGAGTACGCATTGTAGGAGTGGGGGTAATCCTATCTAGAAAAGGACGCACTCATTTGGGCCTAAAGACCTATAATGAAAGATGCGCCAACCGCGAACGGCCCGTGATTGGTCCGCCATTGCGTACCCGTGCCAACCTTACCTGCCTGACGCTGCCAAGCTAGGTGAGAAGATGAGAGCCTGTTACGTAATGGTTATAAAAATATGTAGGTAAAAATTGCGAAGTATGGTCTTGTTTTATGAAATATGTAATATTATGATAATGTAGAATTAGTTTATGTCTGTTTTATTTCATTTCAATATATTTAATTTTATAATCGTTAGTTTCAATATAAGGTTATACAGTTTGTGTTTCTGTGTTGTCATTACCTTACATATACATATATTACTTTAACTTTTGTATATTAGAGTTCTGTAGAACTCTAAAATTAATATGAATATTGTATATCACATCACACACACACACACACACACATTGTTCTTTTTGCTAGAGTTAATTTCATTTGTTTTTTTTTTTACACATTCATAGACTTATTACTTGGTTATTTTAATTATATTTATTTAAATATTTAAAACTATTTATTTTTGTTTCTTAATATAGATTTTATATGAATGTGATAGAACGAAGAGCGCAACTGAGACATTTTTATAAAAAATGTTGATATTTATATAAAATAGTTGTTATACTCTTAATATATATTATTTTGTTGTATTGCGTACGTAATTATTCACTGATATATGTAATTTGTTATGCAGATTGATATACATATATGTATACTGTCATTAACATATTGTTATTATTTTAGTTCAATGTTTAATATTGTTTTCAGCATGTATTGAAATCCAGAAGTCTATTATACTCATATCACTGAAAATTGAATCTGTACGTGCATATGAAATAAATAATAAATTAAAAAATAGAGTTCTGTTGTACATGTTTAATTACTAGTGTTCCGGAATAGGATAAGTTTCGCGCTACAAAAGCCGAATAAAGGATCGATTGCGCCATCCATCGATTCTGTCCGAATCTTTCGTCGCACTCACCGCGCCGTCTTGCGAATATCATTACTACAATTTAGCCGCATATTTGGATACCGATGTCGCTGTCGTCCTGCCGATTCGTCGCGCTAATCGCGCAGCGCGATTCTCCCCTCAGACACAATTCAGTACTTGCCGTGTCAAGTCGTGCTCTCAATTACTCGTCGAAAGCAGCAGCTTTCTTTCTACGTGTTCGCTACCGCGACTCGTTACTTTTGTACGTCTCATCACGGCTACCGTCGTGTATGAGTCTCGGCGTATTAACAGCAGTTAATCGTCTCTCTCGCCGTGCCACGCGACTAACACTTCGTTTACTTGTGAATAAAGCTTGCATACAACAAGTTAAAAGAGGAGTGCTCAGTGGTCTCAATCTTCCAGTCCACAAATCCATTCCGTCATTTGAGATCTCAGTCGAGATCGAAGCAGCGATTCAAACAACCACGAACATTCTGGTCCTTCGAGCCGGATTCGTGGCGGATAAACAACAAGGGACATTGTGACTCTTCGTTCACTTTCGTGAACGTAAGTGACGTGGCACATCGCAAGATTTCCGTTTCGAGCATACCAAGTTACGGAAACCTCTCAAACTCATTATGGAAGAATTACTATCGCAGCAGCGATTAGCTATGCGCTCTGTCACACGCGCATTGGAAAACTTTAAGAAGATCGGCCGTGCAAATCACACGTACGGCATAGTTCGGAATCGCCTTCAAACTCTCAAGGAGACTTACGCTCGATGCGAGCTCCTGCACGCACAACTGCTCAAAGTCGCCACCAAGGAACAAAAGGATACCGAGAAATACTTCAAGGAGGATGTCTACATCGAATTGGAGGACGCCTATCTCGCAGCATCGGACTACATCTCCGACGCCCTCGCCTCTCTCGAAGCAGATCAAGCGCCATCAAGTCCAGGGTTATCCGTGAGTCAATCACAGAAATCCGAAAAAACTCTTACATTGCCGCGCATTAATTTGCCGAAATTCTCCGGCGATTTACGGGAATGGGAAACGTTTCGCGATCAATTCCGCTCCATGATTATCGATCATGCCGAGTTGTCGAATGTTACGCGCTTGCAATACCTTTATTCATGTTTAAAGGACGAAGCACGCGACGCGTTGCGTAATCTCCCTTTGACCGAAGCTAATTTTAAAATCGCGTGGAATGTACTGCTCGCGCGTTACGATGATAAACGTCGATTAGTGTCGGAACATATTCATACGCTTCATACGCTACCGGCCGTTAATACCGATTCCGCGCAGGATCTTATGTCGCTTCGAGATAAAGCTAATATGTCAATTCAAGCGTTAAAAAATCTCGGTCGTCCAGTTGAGTGGTGGGACGATTTGCTCGTCTATCTAGTCGTGCAAAAATTAAATAAAGCCACGCGTAAAGCATGGGAATTACATTTAGGCGATAAAACGGAATATCCGTCGTATACGGATCTTCATAACTTTCTCGCATCGCGAATTCGAGCGTTCGAGAATATTCCAACGACCAGTACGGTCAAAACAAAACCGAGCAAGTCGTCCGTGCAAAGTCACACGACGACCGCTACCGGAGCTCATTGTCCGCTTTGTAAACAAGATCATCTCTTGTCAGTATGTCCTGATTTCAAGAAGAAACAGGTTAACGAGCGTCGCGATCTTATTGTCAAATTTAAACGATGTCTCAACTGTTTAAGCGCTCGACATTTCGCGAACACATGTCCGAGTAAACATAACTGTCGTCAATGCCAACAAAGGCATCATACGATGCTTCACGAAGCGACGACATCAAGCGCGACCGAGAATTCCCTTGAATCCAACGAAACGAATACGTCAAATGAAAACAACGTCGTTTCACATTTAATTACGAAAACAACATTTGACAAATCTCGTGTTCTCTTAGCTACCGCGCGGATTCAGGTGAGTTCTTCG